GGGTGGGCTGTTTCATTTGGGAAAGTGTATATAAACTAACATTCTAGAGGAAGAGGGACACTCAAACTGCTTCTTGAGATGGGTACTTCAAGTCACTGTACCCACTCTGGGGAGATCACCCATACATCAAAGCTGGGAGTGTGTAATGATCTCTTCAGTTTGCAGAAGCCTGTGTTCAGATAGAGTGAGGATTAATGCTATTCCATCCACAACAGGTTGAAGGAAGTCTTATCAAGAGAAAATAATATAAAGAGGAAAGGTACCTAGCAAAGAAATCATTTCTTATATATCTACAGTTTTCAAGGATAAAAAATAGTATCTATTGAACAAATCTGAAAGAAAAGGATTAGACGATTCCCAATAAAATGAAACACTGATTTAATAATAACTGAAAGCTGTAGGGACAGAGATTGGATCAAAGATGGATGCTGAAATATTAGGGGAAGGACTGGGTTGGTGTCTCTAGCCCAAAACTATTTTAATGCTACTAAAAACTACAATTATCTATAAAATTAATTTTTGAAAACAAAATACAAAGGTAGATATGAAGAGATAGAACTATCTATAACTTTTAGTGACTCTGATGATGGAGTGGAAATGATCTTGGAGCTCATGGAGGTGTGAAATGAATCTTGGATGGAACATTTGATCATAAAATACCTTATAGAACGTATTAATGTTGTTGTTTTTGTGTTTCTCTTCCAGAATTTTGAAATGACTATAAAAGTTATTGACTTTTTTCTCATTATGTGCAAATAAAATAAAGGATCGTCACAGTAGTTAAGGAGATAATCACAAATAAGTGAAAGGTCTCATCATTTCATTCATCCAGACTTCCTTTCACCTCATTAATTATTCATCCAACCAAATCTCATACTATAGTTAACAAAATGTGTTGTGAGTTCCAGACACAGCTCTAGACTCTAGCTATGAAGAGAATTTTGGTCTTGCCCAGATAACCTCTAATTGGAATAAACACAGACAAGCCTATAATGAAAAGAGTGTTGTATCAAAGAGATTGCACAAATAATAGCAAATAAGCACTTGGTAAAGCATTAACAGGTCAATATACCTATTAACGATTCCAAAACACTATGTCAAAAAGATTATTGACCTTTCATGCTCATTGCAATACTATTTATTGACACTATCCAAATGCTAATATAAGCCTTCAGACTTCCAGATACCCCAAAAATGCTGCTGTGCCTTTGGCCAGATCCCAAAACCTTGGGGTAAAGTTTAACAAGAAAGTAAACGGTCAAAAGTTAGGTATGAGGGAGGCACACCCACAAACCACCTCCAGCTCAGCTATATAATTGGAGGCATGGCCTCTGTGGTTTCTGATCAGACTGCTTAATGGACATGATCCCAGAAACTCAGAAACAAATCTTGAAATGCAATGGCTTTTGGCAAAAATGTGTCCGGTCCCTGCAGTAGGTTACCAGTGCCGGGCCAACCCAGGTAGGAATACGTTTCATGCCTTGACCTGTTCCCCCTGGCGGCCCAGTGGCTGCAATCCTCCAGAGGCCACTGGAAGTCAGGTTTGGGCCCGCAGTGACAAGACACGCTGGGCCTCATGGGATGGGGGTGGAGCCGGCCCTTTCCTCCCCATCCCAATGAGACCCCGAGTCGCCGCCCACGAACGGCTTCTCTGGCTCCTGATCAAGCTGCATAATGGCCATGATCCCAGAGACTCAGAAACAAATCTCGAAACCCAGCAGCTTTTGGCAGAAATGCATCCAGACCTTGCAGTAGGTGACTGTCGCTGGGCCACCCCAGAGAGGAAAGGGTGCTGTTCCTCTGCCTGATCCCTCTTGGTGGCTCGGTGGCCGCCATCCTCCAGAGGCCATTGGACAGTCAGGTTTGGGCCTGCAGTGATGAGACATGTTGAGCCTCACAGGATGGGTGTGGAGCCCGCCCTTTCCCCTGCACCCCAATGATACCCTAGGTCGCCTCCAACGAACGGCCTGGCTCCTGATCAAGTTGCTTAACAGCCATGATCCAAGAGACTCAGGAACAAATCTCGGAACCCAGCAGGTTTTGGCAGAAATCCCTCCAGATTTAATTTTTAAAATTTCAGAAGTTCAAATTTGCATGGCCACTACTGCAGCCACGTGACATCATATGTTATTCATAACCAGCAATAGAAAACAAATTGTCTACTGTTGCCTTATGAGCAGATCTGAGTGTTGGGGTAAAATCCCAAATAATAATGGTGGGTCTGGTGTCAAAATATTTAATGCACAGTAGAGAGAGTAATGTGGAAATCATCTGCCCCACAGATTGGGGTAGGATATGGGATTGCAGTGTACTGGGTTTTTTTTTTTTTCCCTTTATTTTATTTTATTTTTTTTAAAGTTGTAGATTTACAATTTTTTGTGCTTTGGTTTCAATTATACAATGATCAGATACCCATCCCTCCACCAGTGCCCATTTTCCACCACCATGGATAATATCCCTCCCACCCCCATCCCCCCATCCCCCCTGTCTCTGTGGCAGGGCAATCCCCTGTGTTCTCTCTCTCCTTTTGGGTGTTGTGGTCTGCAAAAGAGGCATTGAGTGGCAAACATGTTCAGTCCATAGTCTACTTTCGACATGCATCTCCCCTCCTGGGAGGATCCTCCAAACATACTTTATTTGGTGCTCCCTTCTCTATCTGAACTGCCCTTTCCTCTAGGATACCTGGCTGGCCTCTAAGTTATGCAGTAATCCTCCTGGTGCTGATCTCAGCTATTCTTGGGTATTAATCTCATACTTTGTTACTTTATATCCCCCAGATGAATGCAATCTTTCTATGTCTATCCCTCTCTTTCTGACTCATTTCGCTTAGCATGATACTTTCCATATTGTACCACTTGTATGTAAATTTCATGACTTCATCTTTTCTAAGAGCTACATAGTACTCCATTGTGTAGATGTACCAAAGTTTCTTTAACCATGTACTGGGGTTTTTGGTGGTGGAGAATGGACACTAGTGAAGGCACTGGTGTTTTATTATATGACCGAGACTTAAACCTGAAAGCTTTGTAACTGCTCTCATGGTGATTCAATAAATAAAATTATAAAAAATGAAAAAAAAAGTAAGGTGGAGTTCATGCCCAATTCAATCAGCTAATCAGTGGCTGAAAAAATAGCAGTACTCTTACATAGGGCTGGAGCAATAGCACAGTGGTAGGGCATTTGCCTGGTGTGCAGCCACACCAGCCAAACCGGGTTCGATTCCTCTGCCCCTCTTGGAGAGCCTGGCAAGCTACCGAGAGTATCTCGCCTGCACGGCAGAGCCTAGCAAGCGACCCGTGACGTATTCAATATGCCAAACACAGTAACAACAAGTCTCACAATGGAGATCTTACTGGGCCCGCTTGAGCAAATCAATGAACAACAGGAAGACAGTGACAGTGACAGTGACCCCTACATAAAAAAAATTATTTGTTAATATTTTATTGTTGACTTACACAGTCATGTTAATCCCTTCACTATAAAAGTTTTTGCATATCCTGCACTGTCTTGAAGACTCTCTACAAGTTTACTGATATGACTCTTCGTCTACTTCTTCCCTTCTCATCCTTCAGTTACCTTCACTATTTCACTTGATAACCTCAAATCTGTTGTCAAAGTCCAAGAGTTCGTTTTTATGAACGATTTCCAAAAGAACAAAAGTAATGGGTGTTGGCACGGATGTGGCGAGAATGGGACACTCCCTCATTGATGGTGAGAATGCCGAATCGTTCAGCCCTTTTGGAAAACAGTATGGACAATTCTCAAAAAATTAGAAATTGAGCTCCCATTTGACTCACCAATACCACTGATGGGAATATATCCCGGAGAGGCAAAAAAGTATAGTCGAAGTGATATCTTCACTTGTTTGTTCATTGCAGGACTGTTTACAATAGCTAGAATCTGGAAAAACCTGAGTTCCCGAGAACAGATGACTGATTAAAGAAATTTTGGTACATCTACACAATGGAGTACTATGCAGCTGTTAGAAAAGATGAAGTCATGAAATTTAAATACAAGTGGGACTACATGGAAAGTTTCATGCTAAGCAAAATGAGTCAGAAAGAAAGGGATAGTAATAGAAAGATTGCATTCATCTGGGAAACATAAAGTAACAAAATAGGAGACTAACACCCAAGAATAGCCGAGATAAATACCAGGAGTTTTACTCCATGGCTTGGAGGCCAGCCGCACATGCAAGAGGAAAAGGCAGCTCAGATAGAGAAGAGAGCACCAAGTAAAGGGTGTTGGGAGGATCCTCCCAGGATGGGAGATGCATGCTGATAATAGACTATAAGACCGAACATGCTCGAGCGGGCCCAGTAACGTCTCCATTGGAGACTTTGTTGTTACTGTGTCTGGCATATCGAATACTCTCGGTAGCTTGCCGGGCTCTCCGAGAGGGGCGGAGGAATCGAACTCGGGTCGGCCATGTTGGCCGCTTGTAAGGTGAATGCCCTACCCGCTGTGCTAGCGATAGCACAGCGGTAGGGCGTTCGCCTTACAAGCGGCCAACATGGCCGACCCGAGTTCGATTCCTCCGCCCCTCTCGGAGAGCCCGGCAAGCTACCGAGAGTATTCGATATGCCAGACACAGTAACAACAAAGTCTCCAATGGAGACGTTACTGGGCCCGCTCAAGCAAATCGACGATCAACGGGAGGGCCTTTATTTTATTTTATTTAAGACCGAACATGATTGCCACTCATTGCCTCTTTTGCAAACCACAGCACCCAAAAGGAGAGAGAGAAAAAAAGGGAATGCCTTGCCACAGAGGCAGCGTGGGATGGGGGATTTGGGGGGTGGGAAGGATACTGGAATTAGTGGTGGTGGAGAATGGGCAATAGTGGAGGGAAGTGTACTTGATCATTATATAACTGAAACCCAAGCACAAATATTTGTAAGTCTACAACTGTACCTCATGGTGTTTCAAAATAAAATTTTTTTTAAAAAATGAACCATTTCCACTAAATCCTTTATTAATAATCAGATAACGAAAGTAAGTTTAGAGTTGTAAATAGTTTATTGAAATGAAAATGTATTTGAGATTTCAACAATTTTTTACAGACCAAAACTCAATTTACGTCAAATTCAAAGAAAGACTGAGAGGTATACTGAGTCTCAATGAGATTTTGGTTCTGGAGCATTTGTGCTGTCCTTTGAGTCGAAGATCTTGTGGAAAGTTAAAAAGCAGAACACGATGCAGAATTATATATTGTTTTCTGTAAAACAAAAAAATAGAGCTGGTACTTTGATTCAATCCTACCTTTAAAGAAAGATCTTGACAAATATTCCTTCTCAATTTTTGCTTGTACTTATCTACAACATCTGATATCCATAAAAGTTACCGTTGGAAGACAAATCAGAAACACTTTTTATTTCATCTCCTGTTTCAGGAATGTATGGAAGCCAAAGTAATGATAACCGTCCAAATCTTTTTGCCTCTAGGGATCCAAATAATCTTTTTTCTCTATATTACTTATTCCTGGATGAGGTAAAGGTAAAGGTAAAGGCCCTCCCGTTGATCGTCGATTTGCTCGAGCGGGCCCAGTAACGTCTCCATTGGAGACTTTGTTGTTACTGTGTTTGGCATATCGAATACTCTCGGTAGCTTGCCGGGCTCTCCGAGAGGGGCGGAGGAATCGAACTCAGGTTGGCCATGTTGGCCGCTTGTAAGGCGAATGCCCTACCCGCTGTGCTAACTTATTCCTGGATGAGAAACTTATCAAAATTCTTAGCAAGTGTAAAATTCTTCTGTAAATTGAATAATGTTCAAGTGCCTCAACATTTGACTCTTGGAAATGACTGCTCTATCTCTTATTCATTTGACTCCTGTTCTCTAGAAACCAGATATGAAAAATCATTCAATATTTGTCCTTTTATGATTATTTCTTTCTGTTTATCATCATGTCCAAAATATTGATTCATTGTATTTGTTTTGTTATGTTTGAAACAATACTACCTCCCATACTGGAGTCTGTTCCACTGAGCACTTATCTTTCGTAGCATATCCAATTAAAGGACAAATACACAGAAAAAAATTAAAAGCAGATTATTATACTTGAAATTATGTTGAGTGTTCATTTAGTTTAAGATGTATATAATTTATCATTTTGGTGTTTTCCTGAACTGTAGTGAAAAAGACCTCAGCGAATTTTACTACTTTCTTTTTGGGGTAAAACAATAATAAACATCACTGAGACTCTTTCAACTTAAGACTTTTGCAGAATCGGTGTCTTATTATCTTTGATGGAACAATGTGTGTGGGAGGGCAGGGGGATATGCACGTTTATGTTCATAAACTGAGTACTTGATATGTGGGCAAGCAAGAGGTTGGTAATAACCAACATGAGTAACCTTTCTCCATTTCTTTCCTTTGTATTGATTTTTGACTATTGAAACTACAAAATGAAGAGAACTTAATAGCTGAAATATTGGCTGCTCATCCTTAAGTAAAACTCGTCAGCGTGACTATGCTATGAAATCCAAGTGGTCCTGACTTGTTTATCATAACTTTGACAAATGTAAATCTCCTTATCCTTACCAATACTTGTAAAAGCACATAAGAAGAAAGTGATATTACCATGAATATTCTATTGCTCTCCAGAACATCTTCACTCTGATGATTTAAACATTGCTTCAGGGTATGTAAAGCCCTCAGAGTGTCCTCATGCTCTCTGAATTCGTGAAAATGCGACAAATATTCTTCAGGGGTCATAGAAGAATCCAGTGCCTTGGTAAGTAAATCTTCCAGAAGATTGCATCCACAACCTAGGGAAAATCATGGGAAATTGGGTGTGAATCCAAAGGACTGATCAGCACCTTTTGCCCTAGGTAATATTTTTCATCTCTGAACATTCTAGTCAAGGTATCACTTAGCAAAGATTTCAGTGAAATGTGTATGTTTTGAATCCTTGGAGAATGAATATTCAAGATATGGAATTTCCCCTCAGGTAAAAAAAAATAAACAAAAAAAATTTTTAAAAATCATTCCCTTCTCCCATCCTGAGAAGCCAAAGTAGGTAACCAGACCCCAAGACTCTCCAGGAAGCAGATGCTTGAACTGTGCTGAAATCGATTAAGCAGTCTCCGCTCATTCATTATCTGGAGTCTTGTGATATTATCTCTCCATTTTGAACACCAAGCAGCATATCCTAGTAAGGTTGTTGTTTTGGTTCCAGGATTTTACACAGAAATTTCCTCAATGGCTCATTTTCTGCTGTACCAAGGAATGAATAAAAAGAAATTTGCTCATAAAGTGATCTGGTGGCACAGGGCCAATTCCGTGACTCAGGGACCAGAGCTCCAGAGTTCACTCCTGAATCAGAGTTTTCTGTGGAGTTGGCATTGAGCATCTCATGTCAAGGTATTTATACCATGTCAAGAATAAGTGAATGGGATGTGGAGAAGATATGGCGTAAGACACTCCAGAAGGATCGATCGTGATTGGAGGCCACATCAGTTGTTCTAGGGGATTTACTGGTAGCCACATAATCATTCCTGGAAGTAGACTGTCTGGTGGCATGTATATTTATCCTCAAGAGGCACTGATTTTGAAGAAAAGGAGAGTTCTGCTTACATTGATTTCTGGTTTGATCTTTTCAACAATCAATGTAAGCAGAGTAGATCTTCATAGTGTGGGACAGTGGGTCAGCCACTGCTGCCTGAACCCTTTCTCCTAGGGATTTCCTGTTTCCAGCCCTGCAGATGGAGACTGTACTTGAGCCTCTTTTAGGAAAAACACCTAGAATGTACATTCAGTACATCTGACTGAATCTCTTTCCTGCATGAACTATGTCATTTTAGTGTTTAGGCCCAGGATTCACCCCATTTACCAAACATCTTTCTTTCAAGAAAAACTATTGTATCACCATGAGATAGAGTTACAAATCTTTCATGATTGAGTTTCAGTCATATAATGATTGAACACCCATCCCTTCGCCAGGGTACATTTCAGACCATCAATGTCTGCAGTGTCCCTCCAACCACCCGCTCTCCCACCCCTTCCCCTACTCTATGGCAGACCAGACACATTCCTTCTTACTCCCCCCTATACTTTAGGGATTATGGTGTGCATTACAGACACTGAGAGGTCATCATTGACTTAATGGGCCCTTTTCTATTCCAACTGTCCAGGGAACTTATATGCTGCTCCATGTCGTAGAAGTCAAGAGGTCTTAAACAAAGCCCTAACTAAGGGACAATGCACAAATGGGAACACTTTGGGGACACTCAAAAATTATTGAATTCTAGGTCTGGAATACCCAAAATGCTATATTGAAAGTTGCTTGCCCAGATGTTCAGGCATTAGAAAATTCTCCTCCACTGAACCTCAAAAAACAACCTGAACCCTGGGAGATGCAGACTAAAACAACAATGAGATATCATTTCACACCACAGAGACTGGCCCACATCCAAATTAACAAAGGCAACTGGTGTTCGCGCGGATGTGGCGAGAAAGGGACACTCTAGTGGGAATTCCAACTGGTTCAGCCCTTTTGGAAATCAGTATGGACGATTCTCAAAAAATTAGAAATTGTACAAGCTCGTCCTTCACGCCCTACCGAGGTCACGAGTTGCCTCCGACGAGCGGCTCTCTGGCACGGCCATGGCTCCAGAGGCAAAAGGACTTAATCCAGAGCCCGGCAGCTTGCGACAGAAAAGTGAATGGACCATGTGTTAAACTATGGCGCCATGCCTCCCTGGGAGGGAAAAGGTGTTGCTCCCTTCCGCCTTTCTCCCCCCCCCCCAAGCAGCAAGGTGGCCTCCACCTCAGAGCTTATAGGAAAGCCAGGTATGAGCCGGCATTGACGGGGCAACTTCAGTCTCATGGGAAGGGCGGTGGTACCGGCTAGTCCTTCACGCCCTACCGCAGTCCTGAGTTACCACCCATGAGCAGCTCTTCAGCACAGCCATAACACCAGACGCACAGAAACCAATCTCTAAATTATCTGGATCTTTGCAGAAATCCAAAATTGCGTGTCCACAATAGTGGTCGCGCCACATTATATGATTCTCATAACCAGTTATAGAAAACAAAGTATTTCACAATGCCTTTTCAGCAATTCTGATTGTTGCGGGGGGGGGGGAACTCTAAACAATAAAGGTCCATCGTTTGTCGAAATGATGAATATAATCAATGTAGAGAAGAGTTAAGTAGAAATCATCTGCCTCACAGGCATTGGGTGGGGTGGGAGAGGGGGTATATTGGGGTTCGTGGTGGTGAAATGTGAGTACTGGTGAAGGGAAAGGTGTTTGATCATTGTATGACCGAGACTTAAACCTGAAAGAAAGCTTAGTAACTTTTCCCACAGTGATTTAATAAATAAATCTACGATGAAAAATAAAGAAATAAATAAAACTATGAAAAAAAAAGTAAGGTGGAGTTCATGCCCAATTCAATCAGCAAATCAGTGGCTGAATAAATAGCAGTACTCGTACATAAAAAAAAAAAAATTAGAAATTGAGCTCCCATTTGACCCAGCAAGATCACTCCAGGGACTATATCCCTGAAACGCAAAAATGTATAGTTGAAGTGACATCTTGTTTGTTCATTGCAGCACTGTTTACAATAGGCAGAATCTGGAAAAAACCTGAGTGCTCAATGATGGAGGGATAGGTACTAGATCATTGTATAGCTGAAACCCAAGAACAAAAATTTGTAATTCTAAAACTGTACCTCATGGTGTTTCGCTGATAAAAATTTTTTTAAAAAAAGCCTGAGTGCCCGAGAACAGATGACTGGTTAAAGAAACTTTGGTACATCTACACAATGGAGTACTATGGCAGTTGTTAGAAAAGATGAAGCCATGAAATTTAAATACAAGTGGTACTACATGGAAATTATCATTCTAAGTGAAATGAGTCAGACAGAGAGGGACAGACATAGAAAGATTGCATTCATCTGGGGAATATAAAGTAAAATATAGGAGACTAACACACAAGAATAGCCAAAATAAGTACCAGGAGGTTCGCTCCATGACTTGGAGGCTAGCCGCAAATGCTAGGGGAAAAGGGAGCTAGACAGAGAAGAGAGCAACGAGTAAAGGGTGTTGAGAGGATCTCCCGGGATGTTAGATGCATGCGGATAGTAGACTATAGACTGAACATGATTGCCACTCAATGCCTCTTTTGCAAACCACAGCACCGAAAATTTGAAAGAGAGAACAAAAGGGAATGCCCTGCCACAGGGGTGGGGTGGAATGTGGGCGACGTGGGTGTGGGAGGGATACTGGAATCAGTGGTAGTGGAGAATGGGCACTGGTGGAGGGATGGATACTCAATCATTGTATAACTGAAACCCAAGCACAAAAATTTGTAAGTCTACAACTGTACCTCATGACGTTTCACTAATAAAAGTTCTTAAAAAAAACAAACATGACCCTAAATCCTACCTTTGCTGGCTGGACTCACCTGCATAGCAGTAGAGGGGAAGGGCAGTGAGCATGAGGAATATCAGCAGCTTCATAGTGGAGGTGGCAATTATTTGTTTTGTCCAACTGTGGAGACAACAGATTCCTTTTGGGGAGAGCTCCCAGGTCTCCCCCTTTTAAGCTCCAGGTCCCTGCCTTAAACCTGCCCATAAGTGAAGCAATAAGTAAACCAATCAGATGAAAGTCAATCTGAATGTGGATCAGGAATGACTTGAGCAATCAAGAAGAAAGTGGTCCAGGAAGATTGCTTCACAGTTGGAAGCCTGCCTGATGACCTGAGGGAAAAGGCAGCTGGGGTACAGAAGGGATGACTAAGCCAATAATGGTTGAAGGGATCGCTCGGAATCGGACATGTGTGCTGAAAGTAGATAAAAGACCAAGCATGATGGTCTCTCATTATCTGTATTGCCAACCACAATGCCCTGAAAGAGAGAGTAAGAGGGAAATTGTCAGTCACAGAAGCAGGGGCAGGAGTGGGATGGGGTGGGGGTGAGGAACACTGGGGACGTTGGTGATGAAAAATGCACACTGGTGGAGAGATTGGTGTTCAATCATTGCATGATTGAAACACAAACATGAAAGTTTTGTAACTGTAACTCATAGTGATTCAATAAAAATAAGTGCAAAAAGAAGAAGAAAAAAGTGTCCCTTAAGCCCACCTAGGAATGAAGTTGCCATGCTCCAGGCCGCTTTTTGGATGCTTGGGCCGACCCTCACTCATGAGTGAAGTCCCAGAGAACCAAGTAATGTGGAACTTAGTGACCTTGTACTCCAGGTGCTATGGGACACGGAAACAGAGATCCTCTGCCTGCTTCCCCCAAACTCCAGGAACTCAGGGATCACACCCATAATACACACCATGCCGGTGCCAGATAAATTCCTTATTGGCCGAACTCCACTACCCAACCACAGCCATGCTACAGGCTGCTTTCTGGACCACACAACCACTTTGCACTTTGCACCATCACAACACATCATAAGACACTTCCTACCCATAATTACCTCACCATATTTGATGGGGTTCAAACATGGTGTGAACCATGGGAACATCTGTAAGGACGATTAGAGGCCACTTTAAAAGCCTCCATCCCTCTCGAAGAGCCCAGCAAGCTATCAAGAGCATCCTGCCCTCACGGCAGAACCTGGCAAGCTATCCATGGCATATTTGATATGCCCAAAACAATAAAAACAATGGGCCTCATTCTCCTGACCCTGAAAGAGCCCCCAATTTTGGCAGTGTTAAGATAGATGAACAAGGAGAGGCTGATAAAATCTCAGGGCCGAACTAGGATGCCAAAATGAAGGACGAAAATGACTGTACTTCCAACGGACGTATGCTACCATCAGGTTCATTGAGGACCTGATGGTGTAAGAGCAGAAGACCAAGTACAGTATCATTGGTCTGACCGAGATGAGAAGGCATCAATCACATCATGCCATTTTCTACACTGGAGAAGAACTCTTCCTCAGAACATGCTACAATAGAGGCGTCGGTGGTGTCTGTGTCCTTGCCAACACAAACTTGGCCATGAGCATTGATTCAATCGAATGCATAAAAACATGATTCAGATGATTATACTTGAATAGATGTGGCTCATTGCCGACAATTTCTATCTTCATCGTCTATACACCAACAGCCAACTATGAAGAAGAAGAAATTGAGAAGTTCTACATGGAGCGGGAGAAGTTCTATAAAGAATATCTCACTTTCTACAGGATAATTGTCAGTGATTTAAATGCCAAAATAGGCCGGAGAAGGTCGCCCGAAAAACTCCACATCAGGACCAATGGCCTAGAATAGAACAAACAGGGTGAGATACTGTCTGAGTTCATCATGTCAATCAAGATCATCCATGGTAACTCACAGATCCAGAAGGCCGAATCTAAATGTTGGACATGGGAGTGTCCCGGTGGACAGTTCCACAACAAAATTAACCACATCATATTCAATCAACAGTTTTGCCTGACCAATGTTGCTATTGTCCCAAAATTCCAAACAGGATCAGACCACCGTCTCCTTCATGCAAAATTCTACTTCACGGATCAGGGGGAAAGGGCTGCAAAGCTTAAGAAGAGAACACCCAGAACAACAACCAACTGGGAGCTCTTGACACTATTGTGGCAACATGGGAAGATGCTGTCGTTGACAACATCGACAAGGCATATGATCGACTGGTTTAGCACCTCCATGACTGCACAAGGCATGACCAGAGTCAGAAAGTCAAAACAGACGCCTTTCTTCAGAAACTCTCCAACTCTTGCATTCACCAACATGGTTCTGCACGAGCCTCAGGCAATCACAAGCTGAAGTCCCAGCTCGCAAAGCAGTACAGAGAAGCAATAAAGGAAGTCCTTAAAGAGAGAAGAGCAGCAGTATTGGCCGATGCGGCAGAAGCCAGGAAAAGTATTCGCAATGCCCGCCAGTCCTTCACCAACTATAAGACCAAGATGACTGCCCTCCAGTGTCCTGATGGATCTATCACATCTTCCAGAAGGGCAATGGAGAATATTATCCACGACTTCAACTCGGATCTCTTTGATAGCCACAAAGAGATTCACGTGATACAAGGAATTTATTTGTTTCTTCAAGGTTTCCTTCTTTTGTGGCATGTATTTTTCAAAGTAATCTCTGATGATCCTTTGAATTTTTGTAGGTTTTGTTGTGATGTCCCTTCCTTTCATTTCTGATTTGATTTATTAGGGTTCTCTCTGTTTTTTTTTGTAAAACTTGCTAGTGGTTTATCGATCTTGTTTATTTTCTCAAGCAAGCTCTTGGTTTCGTTGGTCTTTATGATTTTTTATGATTCATTTATTTCTGTTCTTAGTTTTATTATTTCACACCTCCTACCTGATTGAGGCTCCTTCTGTTCGTCAGTTTCCAAGACCTTATGCAGTGAAGTTAGGTTATTTATGTGGGCTTCGTCTTTCCTGATTATTGCTTGCAAAGCTATAAACTTTCTTCTTAACACTGTTACTTTTTTTTTCTTTTTAGGTCACACCCAGCAATGCACAGGGGTTATTACTGGCTCATCCAGTCAGGAATTACTCCTGACGGTGCTTTGGAAAATATATGGGATGCTGGGAATCGAACCCAGCCGCATCAAGGCAAACTCCCTACCTACTATGCTAACTCTCAAGCCCCAGAGAGCGTGTGTGTGCCTGGGAAGCCATGAACAGACCCCACCCAAGGTCCTTGGCTTGTTTCTTTTTTTTTCCTTTTTTTGGGGTCTCACCCTGCGGTGCTCAGGGGTTCCTCTAGGCTCTGCACTCAAAAATTACTCCTCTCAGTGCTTGGGGACTCTATGGGATGCCAGGGATCGAAGCTGGACCACCTGCATGCAATGGCAAAGCCCTCCTGGCTGTTCTGGACCCCTAATACTGTTTTTCATGTATCCCACAAGTTCTGGTAGCTCTTGTCTTATGCTCATTTGTTTACAAGAATCTTTGAATTGCTCTCTAAGCCATGGGTTGTTCAGTAGCAAGCTGTTTAATTTACAGGTGACATTGAAAAGAGATAATTATAAAGTTTGGTGTCAAAAGGTAGAGCCATAGTTTAGTAGTGACTCTGGAAGTAATGTAATAGAAATGAATTTGGAGCTCATGGATGGGTGAAATGAATAATGGATGAAAAGATGATCATAAAATGTGCTAGATGGGGTTGGATCAATAGCACAGCGGGTAGGGCATTTGCCTTGCACGCGACCAACCTGGGTTCGATTCCCAGCATCCCATATGGTACCCTGACAACCGCCAAGAGTAATTCCTGAGTTCAGAGCCATGAGTAACCCCTATGCATTCACCAGGTGTGAAACAAAAAGCAAAAAAAAGGAAGAAAATGTGCAAGGTGTAGTTTAAGTGAGCTTGCTTTTATATTTCTTTTAACAATTTTGAAATCATTATAAAAGATCATATGACTCTTTTTTACTATGAGCAAATAAAATATGTCAAGGATAATCATGGGAACAAAGAGAATAAATAAGAAGTCTCATCATTTGACCCTCCATTCTCCTTTCATTCAAGTACCTATTCACACACTCTACTACAATAACCAGAATCTGATCTTATAATTAATGTGCTGTGTTCCAAATTCAGCTCTTGACACTACCTATGAAAAGGACACTGTCTTCTATGGATGACCTCAAATTACAAGGGGATAAAACAGTCCCAAATGCAAATAAAGTTATCTCAAAGTGATTGCTCAAAGAATAAGCAAACCAGAACTTCAGAAAACACTCACAGGTCAATGTACCCAAAGAATCCAAAACCCTACACCAGAGACACTATTAATCTCCCATGCTCATTGCAACACTATTGACAATAGCAAAGTCCCGGGGAAAGTCCCTTGTCCTAAATCAAATGACTGAATTGCATGTAGCAATGTGCTGTATATTCACAATAAAATACTACTTGACAATAAGGGGGAAATGAAACCATGCAACTTTCCACAACTTGAAGGATCTGTTAAGTGAAGCCCTCCAGAAAGGGAGAGACCAAGAAAATATGTTTTCTCTCATATGTGGGATATTTAATAACAGAAAGAGGAGGTGACAAAACAATAGTAGAGCAGGTAGGGTGTTTGCTTTGCAGGCATCTGCCCTAGGTTTGATCCCCAGGGCTACATTTGGTTCAATGAGACTGCAGAAGGAGTCCCTAAGTGCAGAGGCATCTGTAAGATCTGAACACCACCAGGTATGGCCCCAAAAGCAAAGAACAAAAGACTAACTAAAATGAAAAATAAATAAGTCAATAACAAAAGGTCACAACAGTAGAGCCTGAAAAATTGTTTATAGAACTGAGTCTACCAAGGATGAGTGATGGGGGATAGATTGTGAGGGGAGGTGAACTGCAACTCTGAGAGAAGAGTTGACAGAAGCAGAAGCTCTGGAGGAAAGTGTTGGTATTGAAGCACTGTGTGCATAAAATTCCTTCATGAAAAGAACTGTAAATATGGCGCTTCAAATGAGTAAGGATAAAACTGTATTTTAAAAATTCAAAGTGGGGGCTGGAGCCGTAGCACAGCAAGGAGGACGTTTACCTTGCATGCAACCAACCCGGGTTCAATTCCCAGCATCCCATATGGTCCCCTGAGCACGACCAGGAGTAATTCCTGAG